ATGTCATTGCCAGACATAAATTCCAAATATGAGTTTAGGCTACCAACATAAAACCACAGACGAAGGTTGGAAATGCTGAGGAACAACAATAGCAGTATATATTCTGCTGACAGCATCTGAGATATTAATCGGGGCGCTGAATCTGGAAAAGTAATTAAGTAAAGTAATGCAGGCAGAGTGGCCTCAGACTTTCAGATAACAAGCTAATCTTAAGCCCCGTACCGATGAGCACGTTTTGCTTGACAAGTTTACTTGACAGCTTTACTTTCTAGTGTGTACGGTCAACAAGGGAGTCGACGAAAAAAATTTCCTAACTGTTAAAATTCCTCGTTAATTTTACATAATTCTTGCATTTTCAACTACTATCCAGGTGATCTCAAAACTCGGAAAAGGCCTGGCACTAGTTGTAAAATAGAAATCCATTTCTGGTTTTTCTGGTTTAAAATTACTCAATATCTCATTAACGATATTAGATTTCTATCTCAAATTTGTTCCAGACATTTATTTCCCTGTGCAAGACACAGACACAAAGTTTCAAAGAGTTTCACAAAAGAACCAGGGCGTGACAAGTGATTAAGGGTACGAAACTGGATTTCTATTCTGTTGCTAGTCCCAGTCCTTTTGCTCACCGTCAGATCACCTGGATATCGCATATATCTTCTTTTTAAATTTGCTATGGACTTCATCTTGACTGCGGCTTATTTTTGTTGTTTTTAGTCATGTGTATGCTGTAGAACAATGCATGAACAGTGCAACTATTCACCTCAAACTTCAGTGAATATAAGTGTTAATTATCCTTCATCGTTATCATCAACCATTCGCAAAACGTAAAAACACTACATACATGGATTTATTTTCTACCTTTAGTGTTGTCAACTTCGTCATCGTTATCTTTGATAGATTCAGATTGACAAAGTGGTGATAACTGTAAATCTGTTTCTTGGCGTAACGCGCCATCTTTCTGAGTTTTCACTTTTTCATTTGTTTCTGAAGCACCATTCACTTCCATGGTTCCATTGCTTTGCGTTCCTTCAAACTTGACTAGAATTTCCTCTTCATCCTTCCGAAGATTTTAAAAACAACTGAAGCGTTAAATCAATGCAAAAAGTGCAAAAGATCCACAAATCCGGATTAAAAAATTAACAGTGCCGGATAATGTCCAGGATATTTTTCACTTGGAAATGTTCTTATAACATCCAGGAGGAATTTTTTGTCATCTTATATATTGAAATACCCTACAATTTGCTTGTTGATTCAAAATTCCAAATGTACTTTTGAAATCAAATTGTCATGTATAAAGATTGATGGTAGTTGTGCAGCACACTAGCTAGTATGCAGAAGTCTTACATTTGGTTTACACAGGATATGCTTTGTTTGCAATGACGTAATTTTGGGATTTCAGTTGACAAGCAGAGAACAAAAACCAGCTATTTTAATGTATTAATCGAGTTTAAATATCACATACTCGAACCGACCTGACCGTGTAGCTCAGTTGGCAGAGCATTGGGCTAGTATTCCAAAGGTCGTAGGTTCAATTCCCACCGTGGCCAGGCATATTTTTCAAGCTTCCCCGGTGTGGATATACACAAGCATCATATTCACCTGAGTACATTACACCAACACAAAAGAATCACGAGTTTAGAAACTGTTTAAGACTCAAAAGATGAATTACCGTTCAGTTTTCCTTGCTACAACCACTCTGATAGGGGAAAAATCCTCCTCAAGTTGTTTGATTGCCCGTCACTTGGATGAAAAGTCACGACGTGATTGTAAACAAAGAATATTTATTTTTGGGTTCTGTTGCCAGTAAGAATTATCTTTTTCTAGGCCTTCTTTACATAGCCCGGAGCAAAATAGGTTTTAATTTATATAGATTTGTCATCCAATAATTCAAATTGAACCACAATATTTGTCTCCAAGCAAAGATAAAAACAACTTATTAGTCCAAAACTATTCAAATCACTTCATAAATAGTTACATTACTCACTTCGTGTTTGGCGGGACTCTCGTGCGATGTCGATGATATTGCGTTCACAGAGCCGTATACATTTATAGCCTCAAGACGCTCAGAAGTGATGGTACAAGGAGGTAAAATGAAGGTAAAGAGAAGAATTAGGATAATGGCGGATAGGTAGTAACAAATATTGATTGATCGTAATGGAACACCACCATCATATACCAACTGAAATATAAATCAAGACAGAAAACAAAATGAATAATTAAAATAGCGATTATAGTGGTTGTGCAACAAAATTTCTCACCATTTCTTATGATTGTAGTGTAAAGCAAATTGGAAATAACAAAATAAAATATTTTGCTAAACCCTCTTTGAGTTGCTTGAGATATTTAACAATTTTTCACATGCAAATTATCCTCATGCACTATGAGGTCAAAAATTGCACAATGGCTCTCTGAAAATTAATACGACTGACTTCAGACCGGCATGAATTCAGACCGGGATGAATGTAAACACAAATACATTTCAGACCGGTCTCGGCTGTAACCTCGACATTGGAACAACACGTGCTAACAAAAGCCATCTGAAAAAGAAAATTGCCTGGCAAGGGGAATAATTGTCCGCGTGAGGAACCTTGTCCTCAGCGTGAGGAACCTTGTCCTCAGCGTTCTCAGAACCTTGTCCTCAATTGTGATGCCATAGTAGTGTAGGTCAAGTACGATCCAAGGAGATGATTAAATATTTTTTAACTTTATAATGGTTTGTATCATATTACTGAATAGTTTAGACGTTTGTATCAGCTGTAGCCTTACCTTGAAGAAAAGTAGTACAATGGCTGACGAATCCACGGCTCCGTTAAATAAACTTATTACTGAAGACTTCCATTTGTTGAACATATTTGCAACCTGTAGACAAACGATTACAATTTCTAATTTCTATGAATAAGTCAAACACACTAAAATCCTAGAAAAGTGTCTTTCTGGCGATGATTCCAGCTAGACTAAATTTTGATCTAGGCAACAAGAACAAAATCCATCACCACGGGCACAGCTAGAAAGAGCATGTTAAAATTAGTTGCAAAGTTTGGTTGCGAAATGTTCTAAAATGCGGAAAATCTTGAGAAATTTTAAAATTTTGTATTAATTTGTATTACGCCCATGAATAAACCTATTGCCTAATGAACAAAATTTTGATCTAGACAAGTCTACACAAAAATTTCATCGCAGCTTGAAAGAGTATCACAAAATTAGTAATATTCCGAAGTTTGCGGATAATATATAGCCCTGCGAAGTTTGCCGTTTTTCAGTCATTTTGTATATGAAAAAGGTATCAATTTCCCGTGCGTATAAATAGTCTAAATACAAAATGACTGAAAAACGGCAAACTTTGCAGGGCTATATTATCCGCATTTTACAACATTTCGCAACGAAACTTCGGAATATTACTAATTTTGTAATGCTCTTTCAAGCTGTGATGAAATTTTTGTCTAGATCAAAATTTTGTTCATTAGGGGATAGGTTCATTAACATTACCTGGAAGAGGGTTAGTACAAGGGTAAGGCCTGCCGTCGACAATGCTGCGATACCAGGAAAAATCAAATATGGTCTATCTATGAGAAATAATAGAAATAAAAAAAAGAGGTCCACTATTACGTCATCATCCAGTTTGCTACCTATAAAGATCTCAGCACGCTTGTAAAAAGTTATGTTTGACAACGATAATGTCGAAAGCATGCTCATGACTGTACTGGGGTTTGGTAAATACACGAGCATGAGCATTCATGCGTATACCGGATATATATTATATGATCAAAATTATAACATAACAATAGAGGGGTATTGTTTATCGTGGCGAAAAGGGTCCTGTTTCAGTGCTGGTTGTATGGAGCATGACCTCAGTCTTCTTCAACCAAATTGTTAGACATAATTTCACTAAAATCTGTCAAGATCTAACGACTACAACTTTACCGAAGAAAAAGGAAGTACGTAATTCTAGTAATGATACGAAAGAGCTCCAAATAAATATGTGTTACAAACTCAAGGTTCTTATTTATTACCAGTTAGCCATTGCTGGAACGTAATTATGGCAATGTCAATGATAGTTGTTACCTTTATCTGCTAGAACCAAGAACAAGAACGTCAAGACGAAAAAGAAACTGCAAACGACAAAAAGACACGTGTTCACGATTTCGCCAGTGTCCTTCTTCCAAATCAATTGTCTTAAATCCATTTAAGATTCACGAAGTCAAAGATTAAACTATATATTTTACGATTACTCATATTTGCTATGTTGGTGCAACGTACTCAGGTGAATAAGATGTTTGTGATGTTACTCTGAGTGTATATCCACACCGGGTATGCTTGAAAAATATGCCTGGCCACGGTGGGAATCGAACCTACGACCTTTGGAATACTAGCCCAACCTTTGGAATACTAGCGGTACTAAGCTACGCCAACTGAGCTACGCCAACTGTATGTGTGAGTAAATCTGTATTTTTCGTTGCGAATTCAACAACTAGTTTCAAACTTTTTTTGTTTTTTATATAAAATCTGTCTTTTTATAAATTGGGAATTTATTTTTGCTTTGGTTGTTTTGTTTTCTTGTTTCTATGGTGCTTTTCAGTTTTCACACCATTATTTAGCTTATTTTAGTCCGTTTTCCTGACCTAAAACTGCTTTTTAACTGCAGTTTTCGAGACAGTTTTTAGCCAATTTAATTCCATAGATGTAAGAAAATTTTGTTTTTATTTTTTATTTAATAAAATCACTGTGATGATTGCCTTTAAACTTAAACTGTTCATTTTAATGAGTTATTTATGTGTGTGAAACCCTTGTCGATAGGGGCAATACAGATATTTTGAAAGATTGAGTGACATTTGTGTTGTTTTTTTTTTGTCACTCTTTGTCATTTACAAAAACAATCCCGCGCTATTTTGCTTTCTTTCTACTCAAATATCACATCTTTTAAATAAATAATAATTAAAATTTAGAACCGAACCCAAACAAAACACCAGAATTCAACTTTTCATTCAAATTTCTTCCGTGTTTTTTACCAAATTTTTACTCGGAAAATAAAAAAATATAAAAGTTTTGTTGACCGCGCACGTAAGGGGACTGAGAATGACGCGCAAGAATGCCTTCAATTTCCGCCACGTTTGGCTTTACTTTTTGAGCTCGAGTCAGCCTCAGCCTTCCATGTTATATAGTTCAGTGGTTTCAATCGGCATGCATCCAAGCCTCTGAGCTATATATAATATATATTAGTATTGTAATATTATAGATTATAGCTCAGTGTCCCGAGCCCGTGGGCATTCCGTATACCCATTAACCCATAGTATAAGTCAATTTAAACACAGAACTTGAATAAAGACCAATATTAAACAACGTGAAAATTTATCGTTTCCGAGCACTTTCTTTTCAAGTAGAGTACCCTGAGACACAGAGCCTGCCTTTCCCCTCGCGTAGAAGTTAGGGCAATTTGTGCATTAAAATTGAAGAATGAATTGACTAAAAATCTGTCAAAACCGAGGTCAAAACCTTGCCGGAAACTTGTAGAACACCTTCAAATTCTACCGTAAACGTCAATCTTAATAACCTGTCTAATATAAATATTTCGCCAACGCGTGTTCGATTCCGGTCATACTAATTCAAGGACAACGTCAACGTAACGTCAACGTACCAAATGTTCGTTTACCAGTAATATAAATGCTAATTCTAAAGTTAATGATACGTTAATGTTGTTTATAAATTTAAACGCCGTTTGCTCGTATAAATACAAAATACATTGTGTTGATCGCTTTTGTGTCGATAACAAAGATATATTTGGCCAAAGGTGTTGATTTATAAAAGACATCGCTATATTATCACTCGAAGGAGTTTAATACGTTGAAAGATCTTCAACGTTACTTTGAGAATTGACAAATAATATAGTTATAAATAAAAGCATGAGCATTCGATTTGCTTTGCAAGGCAAGCTGTAGTAAGAATTGTATTAATACAAGGCTAGCCATTGTGAATCAGATAGCGAATAAGATTGATATTTAACATATTAAGATATTATACAATTGTAGTGATTCATTCATATATAAATGTGCATGTTTTAAAATGGTCTTGTATTAACGAGGGTATTGCCGTATTGGAGTTTTTTCTTTCGAAGTTCAATTTATAATTTACTATCATATCTTCCAGGTGAGTTTTAATACTGAAGAAGGCTTTTTAATATTATAACAAAGATCTGGATTTACTATAGGAAGGAATTTAAATTGTCTGAAATTTATCTTACCTTGAAAGTAGCCGTGTTTTTCTCGGTCCAAAGCGGTCCAGAAATGCTCCAGAAACGATACCACAGCCAGAAAACGAAATAACGCCGGTCAAAAATACCAAATTTAGTCGTTCATCTTGTTTGATGCAATCACCGCTAACAGAAGTCGAATTCGCTTTGTGTTTAGTTTCACACAAATCATGAAAAAAGCCCTCTTGTTTTAAGACTACTACCAGAGCTGCCCAGCCGTAGACTATAGCTGAAAATAGCAGGATTTCCAGCACGCTCCAAACAAGTATTAAGTAACGTTGATTGTAAACACGTTTCAAGGCAGCCATTGTAACAAGTCACGCTAGATGTGATATTGTTTAGTTTAGATATTGGTTTAGGAGAACGGGTTGATTTGCATACAAGTGATACAACCTCCTACGCAGAGTTTTATAATAGCCATGCCGGTCCTACATGACAGAATTTTCGATACAGAATTTTCCGGGCTGAACGTCATGTAATCGACGGGAAATTTCAACGAAAATCTCGCACAGACAAGGTCATAGATATCTTATATAAGATATCTATGGTCAAGGTCATGAAATACTGTATTACAGTAAAACTAGTTTACCCACAGGGTAGTGAATGGTGCCTTGGTTACAAGGTATAGCATCTTTTGGTATAGCACCAAATCTTTACCCTGGTTCCAGAGGTTTAATTTTATTATTTTCATTGCGAAGAGGAGAGGAAAAATAAACCTCTGGTTGAAAGTGGCGATTGATTCATCGAGCCGCCCCAATCAGTACAAATCTTTAGTATTTTAAAGAATAAGAAATATTTATAATGAATTAGAATCATCCATAATTTATACATCAACATTTTCAAAAACGGCCAACATTAGCTGAATTCATATTAGAAGACGGATTTCCGTCTAAGACGGGAAACTCGTCTCAGACGAGAAACTCGTCTTGATATAAATTCGGTTAACGACGGGTTTTCCGTCTGAACTTTTCCGTCTAACTTTCCTGCCTGAACGACGGGAAAGTTAGACGAGTTTCTCGTCTTAGGGGCCGATTACATGGAGCATTTTCAACCCCGGGGTTGAACTCAGCCCTATTAACCGGGTTGAAATTTTTTGCGATTACATGGACGATTTCAACCCTGGGGTTGAAACGCTATACTATACGTTCGCGGCATCGATTCGCGGAAGTAAAAAAAGCCTTTATTTTGTTTTCTTGTAATAAATAGTCACTACCACGTATGCTCGAATAAGTCATGATAATTTCAGCCCTGGGTTGAAACGATTACATGACAAAATTTTCAACCCAGGGCTGAGTTCAACCCCGGGGTTGAAATTTCAACCCTGCTAGCTGAAGCAGGGTTGAAATTTCAACCCCGGGATTGAACTCAGCCCTGGGTTGAAAATTTTGCATGTAATCGCGCGTTTGATTTTGATAGAGTTTTGTATTACAGACAGGGCTGAAATTTCAACCCGGTAAACAGGGCTGAGTTCAACCCCGGGGTTGAAAATGCTCCATGTAATCGGCCCCTTAGACGGAAATCCGTCTTAAATTTATATCAGACGAATAAATCAAGACGGGTTTCTGCTCGCAACGTTCAAAAGAGACTGGGATGGAGGGTCTCCTATTTTTTCGGGTTTATCCGTCCGATAGTTTTCGTTTCATACTTATACCAGACGGAAATCCGTCACACGAGTTTCCCGTCTTAGACGGAAATCCGTCTTCTAATATGAATTCAGCTATTCTCACATAGCTAATTAAAATTTGCGTGTTTAGTAATGTTTATCAAAGAAGGCCAAAATATACACAAGACAACCTCACATGTGGAATCTGTCCACTTGTGATGCAGTGGAAGTATAAATACAAATGACAAAGCATTTTTAATTAAACCATACGGCACATTCAAGATTTAATATCGTATTTCAGCCGTGTTTATAATTATACTGCTTGGCACATTCGCTGCGTTATATTCATGTATATATACACAGATTTATTACTAATAAATCAACACTATATGATAATATATACAGTGTGTATAAAAAAAAACTGAACCCTTTCAAACTCAAATTAGCTATAACGTATTGTCTGTAGTAATTTGACAGCTCTTAGCTCTAATTGCTTTAAATTAATGGTTGGATAAGAACACTAGGTCTTGTACTCATGGGACAAAACTCAAAGAAATAAAAATTAGAAAATTTAAAAGAAATACAGTATTCCTTGTGTTCTTTATACCAACATTAATTCAAGGCAATTAGAGCTGTCAAATTACTACAATACGTTATAGCTAATTTGACTGATTTGAAAGGGTTCAGTTTTTTTTATACACCCTTTAGAATTCACAAAGTGCATAAATAAATCTTTTTATAGCATGTCATTGCAAACCAGAGGCAAAAAGCATTGTCACTGAACCACATACCAAATTTAAGCAATCGTGAAATCATATACATGAAAGAAAATGGAAATAATGTTGAATGAAAGCATCGCGTATAATGTTAAAAGCACCGCGTATAATGCTCGAACCACTGCGTATATAAATTGCGAAAGTACCGCGTATATCGATGCTCCCCCCTGCCCCCATCGATGCTCCCCCCCCCCCTGCCGAAATGCACTACTAAGGTTTGCCGACTATACTAAAATTGAACTGTGACTTACATAATTACATTCAGAAAAAGATTTCTCGTGTTCCCTTGCGGTCCTATACGATACAACAAAAGATTTTTTTCTGTCGGCTTGTACAGTAATTAAATTACGCTACGATTAACCTCAATACGTCTGTTCTGTCCATTTTGTCTCTTTTCCTTAATCCATAGATAAGCCGGGAGGATATTGAGAAACAAGCACAACACTAGAAGACTCACATTCACCTATGAATTGTAGTAAATTAATAAATGAATGCAATTTAGCATGTATATACCGTAAACCTCCGAATACAAGCGCCCCCCGTTATATTTCTTTTCGTTCACGATATAGTTTAGAGCTACAATAGTCAATATATTAAATATTACTAACACCAAATGTCGTCTAAAAAAACCTAGCTCCCATGTTTTTATCCAATCTTGAGTAAGAAATTAGTCACGTGCATACGTCTTTATACCAGCTAAAGAACACTTTAACAAAAGACCATTGTTATGCAAACTATATAAAGATTTTTATATAAAGATTTTTATATAAAGATTTGACTTATTATGCAAACGTTTTTGAAGCCATTTAAAAAACTCGCAGGTCGTGTTTTATTAGGTCTAAAGCCACTCGCGCTGCGCGCTCGTGGCTTTAAACCTAATAAAACACTCTTGCTCGTTTTTTAAATAGTACATAAAAAAGCCCAGAGTTTATATTTGGAGGTTAATTAAAGGTAGCCCGAGTTGACTACTCGCCATAGACAACGAGGCCAAGTTCCGAAAACTCACCCAAAATGGGTCTTTTTTAAGAGTATCCTCTGTAACAACAACTAATCCATATTGGATAGAAACTATCGCTGAGGATATTATATGACCAGCGCCAAGTAATTTTCCAAAATGTACCAGTGGAAATCTAAATCAATCAAAATAACTAAACCCGTCAGTTTATTTTCAGTAATTTGGTGAATTATGGGAAGATATTGGGTCCACTCCGTATAATTTATAGATGGTGATTTTTGCAGTCTGAGAGTGCCTTTGAGTTTGTTTCAGCGGTTTAATTGCAGTGCTCTCTGAGAAAATGTGTTATTGTGGAGTGAGCTGGGGAATCAACTGAAGGGGAATCAAGTCAATCAACTGAAGGGGAATCAACTGAAGGGGCATCTGGGGGGTACGCCCCAAACGTTTTGTTTTTTCGAAGCCTCAAAAGCGCATTCTCCATGTTTCTACATTTCTGAGTTTAAAGGTACGTTTCCACTCAAGAAAATTTTCCGCGAAAAGAAAAAATCCTAAAATGTGATTGGCCGATACAAATTTTCCGTCGGAAAAAAATTTTGAAGTTGAAAACCTTCAACTTTTAACAATGATATTTTCGGAAAATTTTCTGTCCGTGGAAAATTTTCGTGAGGAGAAACGAACCTTAAGAATTAAAGATTTTGTAATGAACTTAGTATAACCTTTTACAATCTCATGCTCCCAATTTTGAAAACACGTTTCCTCTAGCATAAATGAACTCGTTTTTTCCCCGACTCTATAAATGGCACTTACTTGTGCAGAATAAATGCGGAATAAACGGAGAAAACGAACGCCCTTAACACAACTTGAACAACAAATGTAGCATACTATAAATAAAAAAAAACTAGCATTAACGTCACAACAATGGCATGAGAAACCAGAAACTGTAAAGCCCAGATCAACCATGAGGGTGAGAGCACATGAGATTTCCAACACTGTCATGTATTTTATTTTATTTTATTTAAGTTAAATCTATATTTTGTCAATCTATATTTTGTTAATTTAAATTAATCTAGAGTTTGAAATCTAGTCCCAGACTCCGACCCTTGTGCAGTGATCAAACCTAAATGGCCGCCATTGCGGCTTCATTTTTACTCCACATTTGGAGTCAAATGAGGTTCAAAATAAATCCACCAGAGTTAAATTGACTCAAACTTGTCGAATCTAGATGGTGCTGAATTTCAATATGGCGGCCAGGGTGCCATAGAAGCATTATCCAGTTCTAGTTTCAGATCAGTGGGCTTACCCAGTGGTAATGGGCGGACCAACAGGCCGGCTTTCAAAATCTGGTCTATTTTTCTTCAATCTGGTCTACTTTATACAATTATAGCCTACTAGTCGTTTACGAAAACGGCGTAGTATTTCGTAAGACTGATTTAGTTATTTGCCATCTTAAAGTTATCTTGTTGAAGAATGAAAGTAGTGATACATTATACTTTGGTTACAGAGCTCAGTTGTGTTGCTAACTAATCAATATACACTAGTTAATTTGGATGACTTTAAGACCCCCTAGACCGCCTGGGCCCTCTCCGCAAAAGGCCACAGCCGCCTACTTTATCAACACAGACATCTGCTAGCCTCCTCCGCAGGCCTCTCTATGGGTTCTAGCCTGCGAATGGGTTTTGAAAAAAAATTTTCCACCACCCGATTCCTCTGGTTAGATGCCTGCGGAGGAGGCGAGACATCTGCATGCTCAGAATAATTCTGAAACCCTTGACCAATCTAGCACATGTACTTCCGGCGCCTCTACAACAGGCCCCGGTCACAGAATAGGAAGGTATACCAGAAGTCTCACTCAAGCAAGTATTTGTCCGCGTTTTTACAAGCGATTCGTCATCAATCACGCCATCCTGGCTAGTACAATCGGCACTTTGTACCTACCAAAACCTGATAAAAACTTTCGGCTGTACTAGGCAGGATGGCGTGGACTGGCGTGAGCGAGTTAAAACTTTCATGCACGTAAAACAACAAAGGCACCGACTCAAGTTACACTTCTGCTATACTTTCCTATATATTTTGTGCCCCGGTAATATATTTGTATTAATTGCAATACCTGCACAGAAAGACTGGGTACAAGAACGAGAATATTCAAAACTAAAGTGACGCATGAAGTGAGAAGAAAGCCGAATATGAAGCCAATGTCTGTTTTCTCATTTTGGTTTTTCTTCGGTTTCCAATCCATCACATAACCAACGATAGGAGCGAAGAGGAAACCAGAAAATTGAATAATTCCAAACCAGTTCGTGTAGTGGTCTACTATTTTGAAAAATGAAACATTATACAGATCAAATCTACTGTTTTCCTTAATCATAGGCGTATGGGCCGGGGGATGGCACGTGCCCAATTTTTACGGTCGGGCAAAAATCAATGCGACATTCGGGCAAAACACAAAAAATTCTGAAAAATTATGAAATGTCCTGAAAATTTTTTTGTATGTTTGCGAAAATTACGTGGTGTTAGGGAAATGTTTTTTAGATATGTAGGGCAAAATTTTCGGATGTTTGCCATGACCTGGAAGTCTGGAATTTCTGAAATTCGTTAATATTTTAACGATAACAGATATAATAAAAGAACAAAATTCACTTCGCTCTTGCAAAAGTCCGTTATATAACAACAATTCATATTATTGTTATGACTGGTAAATTGAAATAAGTAAAATGCTTTGTTAATGTAATGTAATATTTCAATTTTCCATGACTTTCCATGACTAAAATTGATTTTCCAGGATTTCCAGGCCTGGATTTGGAATATTGAAATTCCATGACTTTCCAGGTTTTCCAGGACCCGTACGAACCCTGTATGAAGGTCATAAACAGTTTTAATACTGTTGCTAAATGAGGACAACTATAAAATTCGGATCAAACAGTGATGAGAGTTGGCAGCCACGCTTTCCCAACCGACTATAATAGACAGATTTAGATCGAGGACGCGGACGTCAAAGACGACGTGAAAATGACGTGGCATATCCATACATGGGCACAACACGTCATTTTCACGTCATCTTTGACGTCCTCGATCTAAATCTGTCTAATGTATTAAATGCACGACGTATATAGGAACAAATTGCCTCTTAAAAAACAATTAAAAATCTAGTCCTTACCTGTATCCATGTCATTGTCAGACATAAATTCCAAATATGAGTTTAGATTCCCAACATAAAACCACAGACGAAGGCCGCACACACTAGTGAACAACACCAGCAGTATATATTCTGCTGTCAACATCTGACTTATTAATCGGGGTGCTGAATCTGGAAAAGTAAAGTAATGCGTGCACAGTATGTTAAACTGTTAGCTACATAGCATAGGTACTGTTTAATAAACGAGCAGGATGTTTTATTAGGTTTAAAGCTAGACCTAATAAAACACATCCCGTGAGTTTATTAAACGGCTTCAAACACGACTACAAATTCAATAGAAATACTGCTTTGTAAGTATTTTTTATATAAAGAATGCTAATTAGGAGTGTTTTATCAGGTTTAAAGCCACTGCACGTGATATATTATGGTTGACATGATTTGCCAATTAGCTTATGAATTATTAATGAGTGTTTGAACTTTGAAATATATTTTGTACCTTCACTGGATTCGGCCTCAATTTTTGCAACTTCATTATTTTCATTGACAGCTTGAGATTGAGAAGGTGCTGATGACTGTAAATGACTTTCAGTTTCGTTTTGTTGTAGCTTGCTATTTTTCTTAGAAATTCCAACTTCCCCATTTACTTCTGAAGTCCCATTCATGTGCATGATTCCATTGCTGTGCGAGCCTTCAATCGTAAACGCTGATACATCTGCAATCTTTAAAAAATCTGGGAATCAATTCAATTGAAAATGCAAAAGATTTTTGTTTGCGAAGCCTGTAAACAATGCGAATATGACTGCAGTATCTTCACAACAAATTAAAAATTCTAAATTATCAATTTAATTTTCAAATCTCATAAAAACTGAAGTGAATAATTAATGCGCAAACTATGCATAATTATACATATTTTACACAGCTTTCATTTAGGAGAAGCAAGAAAATGTTTTTTGAATTGATGTAATTTTGATTTTTAATTCTAATTGTAAACCGCTGTAAGAATTCATTGTAACTTCTCCGTAGAAGGCTGCGGACTGGTAGCCGAACCAGACAGCATCCAAAAACTTAATATACTGTATAGAACTTACTTGGGGTTTTGCAAAACTCTCGTGAGATGCCCTAGAATCCCTAGATCCATTGATGGGCTGAAGACGTTCTGGTGTGATGGTGTAAGGTGGTAGAATCGACGTGAAGACAAGAATTAAAATAATGGCAGACAGAAGGTAGAAGATATTGATTGACAGCAATGGAATACCAGCGTTGTACACCAACTGAAAGCAAAACAGAAAACAAAGTAATCATGATTTTTTCTGTGTTGGAGTAATGTACTCAGGTGAATATGATGTTTGTGATGTTACTCTGAGTGTACATCCACACCGGTGTCAAGCTTGGAAAATATGCCTGGCCACGGTGGGAATCGAACCTACGACCTTTGGAATACTAGCCCAATGCTCTGCCAACTGAACTATCATACTACACAGTACAACAAAGTGATTGTTATAAATTTGACTTGGCAACATATATGACACGAGTTATTTATACACACTTCAGGCGCTGTGACAGTCTATGCAACTTGTCTCGCAACTTATCTCGCAACAACTTGTTACGACACAAGTGACAAAATTGCAAGGTGTATCACACGTAAAAATGTCACATCTTGTAACAAGTCTGCCAACAAGCCGTCAACAAGATGTATTCGCACTGCTTGTCACAAGTTGTCAACAGGTTTGGAACAACTTGTTGACAACTTGTAACAACCTTGTTGAAATTATCATACTTGTTGCAAGGTTGTTCTGACAAGTCTGTTACATGCTTGATATAACAAGATTGTTACAACCTTATGTTGACAACCTTGTAACATCCTTGTTATATCATGGCTGTAACAAACTTGTTAGCATAGTCTTGTAACAAAGCTGATAATGCCATCAAGCTTGTTACAAGTTGTTAACAGCTTGTTCCAAAGTTGTTACAACAACTGGGAACAAGCAGTGCGAACACAACTTGTTGACAGCTTGTGAACAGATTTGTAACAACTTGTTTGCAGACTTGTTACAAGCTGTGCGTTTTTACGCGTGTAACATACCTCGCAATCATCAAGGCTATCAAGTCTCGCAACATTTTTGTTGCAACAAGCAATGCGGTACCAGGTAGAATAGGTTACAACGCATTTTTAGAGCATTGCGCAGTGTAACATCCCTCTTGCAACTAGCAACTAGTCTCGCAATGTTCATACACTGAATGGCTTCCTAAATTAAAATCAAATACACAGATCAAGGGCGGATTTTCATATCCTTTAAAGGAGGGGTGGAAACATTTCTAGTGGGGTGTGAGCGGCACCTTTGAGCGAGCTTTGGCAGGGATTAGGCGTTATGGTTAAAGACCTTGACACAAAATAGGAGGGGTGAAGCGAAATTTCGGTGGGGTTGAACACTTTATAAGAGGGGTTAGCGAGATTCTAGGCGGGGGGGGGGGTTAACACCTCCTAACCCCCCCCCCCCAAAAATCCCCCCATGACACAGATCGGCTGATCGACGTTCTTTATATAATAACATAACACAATCATTGAAAACTATTTTAAAAAATCATTCGGAGCCTAGTCTTACCTTGAAGAAAAGTAGTACAATGGCCGACGCATCCACGGCTCCGTTAAATAAACTTATTACTGAAGACTTCCATTTGTCGAACATATTTGCAACCTATAGAAAGGAATGGTTATACTTTATATCAGATTATCATTTGTCAAACAGAATAAAATTCTATAGAGTATAGTGTCATAGCGTCAATGACAATGGAGGAGTTCAAGTGCGAAGAAATTAACTTTGTCCTTGGTTGGCTACAAGAAAACGGCTTTGAACGATTGAAGAGAGTTTTTGAAGGAAACAAAAACTTTGAAATTCCAAAATTGCGAAATGCTGTAGCTTCCAATTCGTACATGGGGTGGGGTATTTGAACTCCAATTTTTCCCAATGCGTGGTGTATTTGAACGGGAATTACAAATATATGTAGGGAATTTGACCTGACCAAAACGTCAAAATCCAAATTCCCGGGGGGGGGGGGGAATTCATGGTTTCGATTTGATTCGCGCATTAGTTAACAATAGTTACCTGGAAAATAGTCAGTAGAAGGGTAAGGCCAGCCGCCGACAATGTTATAATTCCAGGAAAGATTAAATTTGGCCTATCTGTAAGAATCATGGAAAGTTCAATAGCAACGTTAAGCTTGCTGCCACAATTGTTGTCGAAACTTAAAACATTTAAATTTATTGCATGATGATAGATAATGATACCTTTATCTGCTAGAACAAAAAACAAGAACGCCAATCCAAAAAGAAAGCTGCGTATATATAAAGAAAGACGTCAGTCTTTTACACAATCCACGCCTCCTTACCAAAGACGTCAGACTTTAATAGCGGAAAATTTGCGAGATAATTTTCTTAATTTCAAATTCTACGTTGTTTCTTATACTGTTAGTCCACAGACAGGCATAAACGTTTCCCATACGAGCTGGGAGACGACGGCTATATATGCCTATGGGAAAGTTCACTTTATACAACAAAAATGTTGTAGTCAAGTTTTATATTGAAGAATTTGTTTTGAGGGATTTAGAGTTTATCAACATTATATTTTGACTGTTTTTAATTCAGTATTTTCAAGCGTATAATTATATTTCACTTTTCAGGAAAAGACGTCATTCCCACAAACCAACAGACGTCACCCGAAAATTGGTACAGGTAATTTTGGCGGCATTTTACATCATGATTCATGGACATAGCACTCGTCAAAGGAAGCAAAAACTGTAAAGACCATATCAAATCCTTTGTTTACATTTTGAACTGCTATATTTGTAAAATAAGACATACTAACTGAATATCTAACACTTTTCTGGTTCGCCATTGTAAATGAATATAAACTAGAGTACGTTTCAATTCAAAAAAAGTTCGAAAGATACAGAATTTGGGCAATGTTTATATCTGTGGGTCTCCCTTTGTTATGAGCAGAACTGATGCGCAGAACGGACATGTTTTATCACATTTGTGTTGAAGATTACTAATACAATGCCGATGGCAATGCACAGTTTCTAATCCACAAACTATATATTCTGACGTCATTGGCATTGCATAGTAATTTTCAGTATAGCGTGCCAGCCCGACGATTTAGTCCCGCTATGCAAAATATTTTCGTGTTCCGCATTGACTGTGAAAACAATCAATTTCTAAAAAAATGAATAATCAGATAATAACTTTGAATTTGCACAGCGGGACTAAATTGTCGGGCTGGCTAATCCACTATTACATTTCAACTTTCTTTATATACCGTTCCATAATTTATATAAGCGCTTCAAAAGTAACTAGATAAGTACTTTTAATAAGAGCCAAGAGGCAAGTAAAGTTCAGTGATGTACTATGTCTTTGACTCGAATACACCGTCTCGTAGCAAAAACAAAACAAAGTCAAAACCTTAATTATTCGTCAGTTTAACCATGCAACATACTGAGAATTAACGTAGTCTCATAGACATAGTTTAATAAATTAAACTTACCTCGAAAGTAGACGTGCCTTTCTCGGTCCAAAACGGTCCAGAAAAGCTCCAGAAACGATACCAGTTGAAGAAAACGAAATAACACCGGTTAAAAACACCAAATTTAATCGTTCATCTTGCTTGATGCAATCTTCGACTTCGTCTTCGATAATGGTCGAATTTTTAACTTCACATAAGTCATGGAAAAAGTTCTCTTGTTTTAAGACTACTACCAGAGCTGCCCAGCCGTAGACTATAGCTGAAAATAGGAAGATTTCCAGCACGCTCCAAACGAGTATCAAATAACGTTGGTTATAAACGCGTTTCAAGGACACCATTTTAACACGTATTGCAGCATGGATATATACGTATACGCTAAATATTGCATAAGCTACAGGCTTCTTTGTCCGTCTAGTCTCCTACAACATACAGTATATGCAATGACAACAATAAGTATATATATTATATGTGTTAATCATATCAACAAGAATGAGAACTATTAGAAAAATGCAAATTAATTAATGACGCAACATTAACATTTCAGGACAAAGAAATCCTTTGTCCTAGGGTCGTGTTTACACTACAAGCCTTGGCCTAGCCTTGGCCAGGCCAAGGTAAATGTGGCGCGTTTACTTCATTACACTATTTTTTTGAGACTGGCTCACTTTGGCCTAGAATTTTGTAATTAATTTTGTGTATTTTTATGTGTTGTGATGTTGTCCGCTGGTTGTCCGCTAATCTCTCACTGTTGACCCACGTTGCTATGTCTGAAAATAAGGCCCAGGCCAGGGCCGAAAGTGTTTACATTTCCACAAGCCTAGGCCTAGGCCACCGGTTGTAGTTGGCCCACATTTCCTGGCCTAGGTCAGGCCAAGGCTAGGCCAAAGTCTGTTTACACTGTCAAAATGTAGGCCAAAGCCAGGCCAAGGCTAGGCCAAGGTTGGTAGTGTAAACACGACTCTAGTTCTAAGCATTAAGTTGTATAAAGGACCGTCAATAAATAGATTTCGTTGAATGCACTTTGACTCAAATAATGCACCACAATGACTCAAAATATTCAGTAAAATCCTCAAATTTACGAGCAAAATATACGTACCGAATTAGCCATTTCCCAAAGTCCTGGATCTAGTCGCGCGAATCCCTTGTTGGAGGGACAAGAAATATGGCAGCACACATTTAAATTAAATGTTCAATGTAAAAAGGGGATATTTCATTTTTAGTCGTGTAAAAAGTTGATATTTGATAGCAGATACTTCTACTCTTTCACATACATATTTGACGCCTGTCTCCATATATTTTGTCCCTCCAAACGATCCCAGAATGCATTGCTATCTCTTTTGGGAAAAGGCTAATTTGAAACGTTAAGGCCAGATCAAACGAGGATGATAGTGCATGAGAGTTGGCCATCAAACCTGCAGCAGACTTGTAGCAATGCTGTTCCAACAACTTGTCAACAGGATGTGTTCGCACTGCTTGTTCCCAGCTTGTTGACAAATTGTCATCGGCTTGTTGACAACTTGCTACAAGGTTGTTGAGCTTGTTGCAACAAGTTGTTGCAACAATTACTTGTTATCGTCCTGCAATTCAATAATTTGTCAACAAGTTGTGAGTGACAAGCTTGTAGTAACTTGATAAAATAACAGCATTGTTACACCTTGTTGGCAAGCTTGCTACAAACATGTTGCGAACACATCTTGTTGACAAGTTGCAGGAACGCCGGAACTGGGGGGCAGGAGGGGCAGCTGCCCCCGTTGCCCTTTACCAGGAGGGGCAAGGGGGGCAAAGGTGCCCTTTCAATTTAAAGTATTGCGTTGGCGAAATAGCGAATTGTCAGAAATGTTAGTGCAATTCTTTTACGAATTTGCTTCAGAAAACGCAAGAAATGCAGTCATCGAGCTTCAAGAATAGCACAATCGCCTGGTAAATAGAAAACATGATTAGGCGAAGTTCAACTCCCGATGTTTTGCAAACATCTTTTAGTATATATCAATTCAAAAGTGCCATTTCACGAAAAGATACGAGAATCTCTGGCTAGCAATTGTCATACCTTGCGAAACGTCATGTTAGATGCAGTATAAACCGCGCGTTGGGTAAACAATAACAAGAAACCAGGTGTCTTATTGAAGTTCTGTCAATGTTTACACTTTACAAGCGTATAAGGACGAGTTGAAATTCAAGGAAGAAATCGAAATAGGTAAGGCGAATGCAATTTCAAGAACAGAATCGTGAATGGGAGTTTTTGCCGGAATATTTTATTATCTGAACGTAGTGGGATTAGGAGCGGATAGAGGTTTTTTTACGACAATTTTATTCAAGCAGGCAAGTTAATTAATATTTAATCTCTTTAAACGCGGAAAAGCGCCATATAAACTCTCAGGATTTGGACATCTTATTTGATAAAACCATGCAATATTTCGAGTGTAAATTCCTCACATTTATTAAACCTAAGCAGGAGCAGTTGCGAAAAATGCCAGTATAGGCCCTCTGGAACTAAGTTGTGCCCCTGCGATTCTGTTGGCTTTACATTGCCATCACCTGTGTATAAATCACTGATAGTCATATACACTTACACCTGCATTCTAAAAGCTCACTCACACTCAATGAGCGGAGGTTAAATCTGAGCTTCTCCTGAGTGTCAATGCTGTTTTTGAATAGCTAGATGGTGAGTAAGGTAGTAGTAGTCACATAGTAAGGTGCGACACTAACCCTCCAGCTATTCGAAAACGGCAATTACACTCGAGAGAAGCTCAGATTGAACTTCCACTCATTGAGTGTGAGTGGAAGTGAGCTTTTCGAATACGGGCGTAAGACTGGATAGCACATCCGGTGTTCAGAAGTGAATGATATTGAATGGCACTTGAGTGGTGAATACTATAGATTTCTATTACAGAATGTATAATTTTCACTTTAAAACGCTTATTTTCTTCTCTTGGACGGAAACAAACCTTGTTTCAGGAAAGGGATATATAACATGAATGCTTCAAGAACTAAATTTGCAGTTTTTAACCCTGAATCGCAGTTAGAGGAAACCCGGGCGAAGTTTTGCGTCGTAATAAAGCCACTCCTAATTAGACTTCCCCTGCTCCGCCCGCGTTTCCTAGAACTGGCTGCATGATTTGTCCATTATCAAGAAAAACACATAAAAGAGCTAGAAAAGTACGAATTAAACGGTAATTCAGATTTATTCTTGAGCCACCCCAATATTGATTCGCTTCCGACGGCCTTGATTATTGCTAACTTGTTTCCATTATTTGACCTTTACGACGAGGAATAAGGAAAATCGACAGTTTTCGAATATTCTAACGTTCAAGAAATACTTTTTTATAACATGATACGTAAAAATCGAAACAAAATTGTTGAATCTTTTGTGGAAAAGCGTGAATTGGTGTTTTTCTTCCTTTTTACTACAGACAATAAGCTAGACACTTCCGTTACGCGTAACTTTGATTTTCAAACTAATAAAAAGATAAAGGTTAATTAATATCCGGGTTTTCATTTCTGCATACAAAAAATCCAAAACATTCCGTAGAAACGTGGCTGAATAGACATTTAAAACGTGTATGATCTATTTCATGGAATAATGGACCATAAAGGCATAATGGATAATGGAAATAGACCGCACGCTCGCGTGTAATTTGAAATAAGGGTCGGACGGGAAACTACAGTCTATTTGGAGTGGTCAAATAGAGAGTTTAAGCTTTGCGTTATACGTCAAACGGCAAACGCCAGGCAAAGAAAAATTAAACAGTACCAGGCAATAAAGAGTAAATGAACTTGCTGTTTTAAAACTGAAATACATAATTATTCTTTCGACGCAAGAAAGAAAATATGAAATGAAAACGGTCAACGGAAATTTTGCCAAGAAAGTTTGAACCTGTCGTTTGCCGTTCCCGGAAACGCAAAGCTTGAACTCCCTAATGAGTGCGACTGTCAGATGACTGAAGATATGAACGCATTAGATCATATTCAAGTGTGGATCATTTAGTTAGGAATACTTATTCAAAGTCCAAAGCAGCTTGTCCAACTGAACAAGTAGGCGGTTACTGTTGTATTTATAAAACAGGTAAGTTTTGCATTATTAATACCTTTGTTATGGCTGTCAAAACTGAAATCGTGGTTCATACAGTGTTTGTTTAGTATTAAAGTGATGCATGGGATAATTTTATATTTGAGTTATATGAAACTTTTATTAATCTGTGTGTGGCAGTCACTGGCTGACGATAAATGAAAATGTTTGGGTAATGGGTAACCCCATGTGGTCATCAAGATCTGTGATTCAATGAAGGCACATTAGATTGCCCCGGTATTTTAATTGCAGGAGTTGGGAAGACAGAATGCTGACTTAACAGCCAAGAACATTGCAGCACTCATGGCAGAGGTTTCCTAGCACTATCACTTTTGCCACCAGCTCATTATCATACAAACGAAAAATAAATTATGTCCCCTAATTATTACAGGAAGAAAGAAACCTGATTGAATGTCATGCTAGAAGAAGCCTGTCGAAATGATCATGTACCACAAGAAACAACAATGATATATTGGGCATCAAACGCAAATCATGATGAGAATTCAGCTTCTTAAATATTTTCTTACATCCCTTATTGCGTTTGGTACTGGCATCATGATTTTAAACTCTGCAACACTTGGTAGAGTTAGCCATTGTCCTGATGACTCTAGTATAAAGTTCAACGAATCTGGAGTAATAGACACAAATAGTCAGTGGAGAAAACTTGGTTTGGCAACATATGTTTTTACAGCTTATCTGGATGACCGTGAACCATGCTCACCACTAATAACTGTAATGGGATTTGGTGAAAAATCAGAATCTCCTCTTTATGGTACTTTGTTGCTTCACAATGGTGCAAAGATTTACCTTGGGAAGTATGGAGATAGGAAGAAGTTAAACCCTACCGGACATTACACCCTAGGGAAACTGGGTCCCTATGCGTATTTGTGGCTGTTACCGGTTGAGGTTATTAATGCAAGGTACTTGAGATCGATCATAGTTCAACAATATCATCCTACGACAGGTAATCCAAGTTGTTCATTGTCAGTGTAAATATATTATATCGTACCCGAGTCCTAGAAAGAATTTGTCATTGCACAGCATCAGCAGCAAAACATGTTGTATCTCACTTCCTACCAGAAGTTATCACTTGAGTTGGTAGCTGTTGAGTTGGTAGCTGAGGAACTCTCCTTGAAATTTGAACCAGCTCAGAGTTGATGAGTCAATGAGAGTTGTGCAAGAGTTGCAACTCTCATCCTTGCTTGGCCAGGTGTTAACACCGCATTTCTCCTCTTAGGCAAAACAGAAGCTGAAATCCCAATCACGCGTCCAGTGTACTCCACGAAAACATTCGGAGTTTGCATTCACTCTCCATTGTTTGGTCCTGTGAAAGCACAGACGATCATTCAAAACATCGAAATCAACAAAGTCCTCGGCGCAGAATGGTTTACAATTTACGTCTACACCTCTAACCAGGCGTCGCTACAGGTATGTTTCTATATTTTAACAAATAGTTAAATGCCAAATGCTTCAAATAGATTACAAAACCCTTTTCTGTCCAGCTATGAATGCGCAGTGTCACTGATCCTGACGATAAGGGGCCATTCACAAAGGATATCCGGCCAAATGATGGATTTTCAGACCCCCCCTTGTCCGGCTTTGTCCGAATTAGTGCCCCCCCCCCTTCCCCTCCCCCGGACATCCGCCATGACTTGCAAAAACTCACGCAACCTTGTATATATCAAGAGTGAAAAACTTTTTTTACTTTTAGAACTTTTTTATAACTGTAAATGTGAACACAAAAACATATAAATTACTAATTAAAACAAAATCTAGCGTTAACTGCATAGTCAAAATGCCAATTTCATAATGGGAAGGACTGCTCAAAATAGAGGGAAAAAGAAATTTGTTTTTAAATTTTTTTAAATTCCGGACATCCGGATTGCTAACCCCCCCCCTGCTCCCCCCCCCCCTATGTCCGAGTTTGTCCTGATTTTCCAAACCCCCTCCCCCCCTCGGCTCGGACATCCTTTGTGAATGGCCCCTAAGCAGTCCATCTGGAAGGTCTTGTATCCACGAAGAAAGCGCTCAACATCCATGTTTTGAAGCGCACGTTAAGGCTCGCTTAGTCCAAACTCCAATAACAGTTCCTCTGGCGGAATGTAGAAGAAAAACAAAAGAAATGTGGCGGCCCTAAGCCGGAGAAGACTTCTTAATCTTTTCGAGCAAGGTTCAACATGGCAATATTTTTTTATACTAGTTGCAAACGGATTTTGCACATAGAGGTATAAAAAGAATAAAAAATAGTCAGAATAAATAAAGGAAAAAAAATGTTGTGAGTCTGCTACAAAACATGAGTTCAACTGGATTTGAACTCAAATGTTTATCGAGACAGGCCAAACAACATACCACTAAGCCATCAGTGGACGACTTGTAATTCTGGCAAAATTAAAAACACAAGTACATTGTTGTGACCTGCTCATGTCATGAGGTGAATCTCACTTCGGGCAAAATGAAAAAAAAAATGTTATAGACCGACAGAGAAAGGTTCAAAACGGATATTGATGCAGAAAGTTTTGGTACAGGGGAATTTTAATGCGCATTTTGATATAAAAAATGCTTAGCCGTGTTTTAATATACATTCTACTACGCTTAGCCGTTCGCCGGCTTCGTGATAGAGTCAACTAAAACTAGAAGTTACTATCGCACGGCAAGTGCCGCGTTAAATCCTTGGGAAATTAGACAATATGGAATGATTAACTTAATCTTTTCGAGCCAGTTTCAACATAGCCTGCGAACAGGCTCTCAAGCTGAATTGAGAGCCTGCATCGATGACTAATGAATTTGAATATCTGCGCCTCAAATCGTGACGCGAAATTCTCATTGGTCAGATGCTATAATTTATATGTTTCCGCTGAGCTCTATATATGTCAACTGCTGAAGCACTATGCATAAAAAACACATTAACTGGTCAAATTGGTCTTGGCCGTCTTATCTCAAAGCACGAAATGTTCTGTTTTGAGAAAACAGTATTTAAAACATTTGAACTTTTGCTTGAATATCTTATATTTCGAAAAACAGTATAAACTGTACGGTCTAAATTTAGTTTGCACGGTCTAAATTTAGTTTGCACGGTCTAAATTTAGTTTGCACGAAAGTTGTAAACAACACCATATAAGGATAGACATTCCATATTTGGAAAAACGAACGTTACGGGGCAGATATTCAAATTCATTAGTCATCGATGCAGGCTCTCAATTCAGCTTGAGAGCCTGTTCGCAGGCTAGTTTCAACATGGCAATATTTTCTTATACTTGTAAACGGATTTTGCACATAGAGGTATAAAAAGAATAAAAAATAGTCAGAATAAATAAAGGGAAAAAAATATTGTGAGTCTGCTACAAAACATGAGTTCAACTGGATTTGAACCCAAATGCTTATCGAGACAGGCTAAACGACATACCACTAAGCCATCAGTGGACGACTTGTAATACTGGTAAAATTAAAAACACAAGTACATTGTTGTGACCTGCTCATCTCATGAGGTGAATCTCATTTCGGGCAAAATGAAAAAAAATTGTTATAGAGCGACAGAGAAAGGTTCAAAACGGATATTGATGCAGAAAGTTTTGGCACAGGGGAATTTTAATGCGCATTTATAAATAAATAATGCTTAGCCGTGTTTTAATATACTTTCTACTACGCTTAGCCGTTCGCCGGCTTCGTGGATCGACGTGGATCGTGTGAATTAAAACTAGAAGTTACCATCGCAAGGCAAGTGCTGCCTTTTAAACCAAAGTCATTTCGGGCCATTTTTCGGTTTAGATCGACTTAGAAATGTTCAAAACACATATTGATGCAAAAAGTTTTGGTACAGGGCAATTTTAATGCGTATTTTGATATAAAAAATGCTTAGCCGTCCTTAGCCGTGTTTTAATATACTTTCTACTAGCTTAGCCGTTCGCCGACTTCGTGCATCGACTCAACTATAAACTAGAAGTTACTATCGCAAGGCAAGTGCTGCCTTTTAAACCAAAGTCAAATTTAGAAAATTTCGGCCCATTTTTCGGTTTAGATCGACTTAGAAATGTTCAAAACACTTATTGATGCAAAACGTTTTGCTACAGGGCAATTTTAATGCGTATTTTGATATAAAAAATACTTAGCCGTCCTTAGCCGTGTTTTAATATACTTTCTACTAGCTTAGCCGTTCGCCGGCTTCGTGCATCGACTCAACTATAAACTAGAAGTTACTATCGCCAGGCAAGTGCTGCGGTTTTAAACCAAAGTCAAACTTAGAAAATTTCGGGCCATTTTTCGGTTTAGATCGACTTAGAAATGTTCAAAACGCATATTGATGCAAAACGTTTTGGTACAGGGGAATTTTAATGCGCATTTTGATATAAAAATGCTTAGCCGTGTTTTAATATACTTTCTACTACGCTTAGCCGTTCGCCGGCTTCGTGATAGAGTGAACAAAAACAAGAAGTTACTATCGCACGGCAAGTGCCGCGTTAAATCCTTGCGAAATTAGACAATATGGAATGATTAACTTAATCTTTTCGAGCCAGTTTCAACATGGCAATATTTTCTTATACTTGTAAACGGATTTTGCACATAGATGTATAAAAAGAATAAAAAATAGTCAGAATAAATAAAGGGAAAAAATATTGTGAGTCTGCTACAAAACATGAGTTCAACTGGATTTGAACTCTAATGCTTATCGAGACAGGCTAAACGACGTACCACTAAGCCATCAGTGGACAACTTGTAATTCTGGTAAAATTAAAAACACAATTACATTGTTGTGACCTGCTCATCTCATGAGGTCAATCTCATTTCGGCCAAAATGTAAAAAAAATTGTTATAGACCGACAGAGAAAGGTTCAAAACGGATATTGATGCAGAACGTTTTGGCACAGGGGAATTTTAATGCGCATTTATAAATAAATAATGCTTAGCCGTGTTTTAATATACTTTCTACTACGCTTAGCCGTTCGCCGGCTTCGTGGATCGACGTGGATCGTGTCAATTAAAACTAGACGTTACCATCGCAAGGCAAGTGCTGCCTTTTAAACCAAAGTCAAATTTAGAAAATTTCCGACCATTTTTCGGTTTAGATCGACTTAGAAATGTTCAAAACACTTATTGATGCAAAACCTTTTGGTACAGGGCAATTTTAATGCGTATTTTGATATAAAAAATGCTTAGCCGTCCTTAGCCGTGTTTTACTATACTTTCTACTAGCTTAGCCGTTCGCCGGCTTCGTGCATCGACTCAACTAGAAACTAGAAGTTACTATCGCAAGGCAAGTGCTGCGGTTTTAAACCAAAGTCAAACTTAGAAAATTTCGGGCCATCTTTCGGTTTAGATCGACTTAGAAATGTTCAAAACTACCACTGTACCACGTGTTCACGAACATACTGCATTGATCTGAACTAGTGATCTCAATCAATAAATATTCAACTTGGATGTTTATGCCGTTGTATATGTTCGGCATAAACATTCAACTTAGATGTTTATGCCGTTTTATATGTTCGGCATAAACATTCAACTTAGATGTTTATCCCGTTGTATATGTTCGGCATAATTGCATAAACAGTCAACTTAGATGTTTATGCCGTTGTATATGTTCGGCATAAACATTCAATTAAGATGGTTATGCCGTTGCATATGTTCGGCATAGCCATTCAATTTGGATGGTTATGCCATTGCCTGTCTTCGGCATACCCATTCAACTAGGATGGTTATGCCGTTGATTGCCTTCGGCATAACCATTCAACTTGGATGGTTATGCAGTTGACTGTCTTCGGCATAACCATTCAACTTGGATGGTTATGGCATTGCCTGTCTTCGGCATAACCATTCAACTTGGATGGTTATGCCGTTGACTGCCTTCTGCATAACCATTTAAGTTGGATGGTTATGCCGTTGAGTCGGTTCGGCATAGCCGTTCAACTCAGATGTTTATGGCGTTGAATATGTTCCGCATAAGCATTTGGCTAAGGTAAGTAGGAATATACCGTTTGCTTTCAACCTGAGGAAATATTTTTGGAGAAAAAAAAAGAATTAGGCCTAGTAATTTCCGAATATTTCTTGGCGGGAAAATATAAAAAATTGTTCGGCGAGAATCGATCCATTACGCATTTGACGTCTGGTGGTTTCTACCACTGTACCACGCGTTCACGAACATACTGCATTGATCGGAACTAGTGATCTCAATCAATAAATATTCAACTTGGATGTTTATGCCGTTGTATATGTTCGGCATAAACATTCAACTTAGATGTTGATGCCGTTGTATATGTTCGGCATAAGTATTCAACTTAGATGTTTATGCCGTTGTCTATGTTCGGCATAAACATTCAATTAAGATGGTTATGCCGTTGCATATGTTCGGAATAGCCATTCAATTTGGATGGTTATGCCAATGCCTGTCTTCGGCATACCCATTCAACTAGGATGGTTATGCCGTTGACTGCCTTCGGCATAACCATTCAACTTGGATGGTTATGCCGTTGACTGACTTCGGCATAACCATTCAACTTGGATGGTTATGGCATTGCCTGTCTTCGGCATAACCATTCAACTTGGATGGTTATGCCATTGACTGCCTTCGGCATAACCATTCAACTTGGATGGTTATGCCGTTGACTGTCTTCGGTATAACTATTCAACTTGGATGGTTAGACCGTTGACTCGGTTCGGCATAGCCGTTCAACTCAGGTGTTTATGGCGTTGAATATGTTCCGCATAAACATTTGGCTAAGGTAAGTAGGAATATACCGTTTGCTTTCAACCTGAGGAAATATTTTTGGAGAAAAAAAAGAATTAGTAATTTCCCAATACTTCTTGGTGCGAAAATATAAAAAATTGTTCTGCGAGAATCGATCCATTACGCATTTGACGTCTGTGGTTCGGCATAAACATTCAA